AGTATTAGTATATTCCTCTCCAAACTGTATGTGTGTGTGTCTAGTTTTACTACTGTGGTACTATAAACTAAAAGTTGTGAGTGTTTGTGATGTTGTTCTGTATTTTTAACCTGGAAAAGCACTACTATTTTCTGAACAAGTAAGCAAGTGCATGAGTATGCCACTTTCCTGAAGACATACACATAGAATCTAAACGGAACATCGTTTTGTACTTACAATGTGTGGTCTCTATGAAAAAAAATCTTTTACACTGTACCGAGCCTGTCTACTTGTAAAAAATCTTACTCAAACAACTTTGATGTTGTGATTTTGTACACATCAACATCGATATCACATAGATGTGTTCTATTGTCAGCATTTAAACTTGTTTGTAACAACTGAACAAGATACAAGCTTTTTGGAAAGACGATGGAGCATACCCTTTTGACAATTGAGTCGACCTGTTACTGATATTAAGTACTTACATGTAGAAAGCTAGGAAACAGGGACCAAAAAATGTTTTGCGTATCTGAATTAATGTAAAAGCATTGATAATCTTCAGATGTTATGATATAAGAGCTTAGAGAAAAGAATACACAATGTGCAAGTCTTTGCCAAGATAATCATGCCGAGGTGATTTAACTGGTCAGCCTTTTTGGATTGCTGTTTTTACTTGTTGTGATGTACATGTACATGTAAGCTTAAACATTGGCATTACTGGCTTGACAATTGGGTATATATTGTACATTGAAGAAACTTGGGTCAAAGCAGAATTGCCATTACCATCGGTAGAAGTGACATCTAATGCCTGTCAAACTTCTCAGATTGTTACATAGACTGCCTAACCCAATAATCATGTGCCAGGGTTGACTTGTCCAGTTTAAATTGTAGTAGATCGAAGGCCGCTTTATTGCTTTTATGTTAGTTGAAAATTCGCGTTTTAGTCCAGTTGTATGATGTAAAGTTGCCAAAAATGACAAGATAATAATTTGTGCCAAACTGTAGGATGCAGGAATACCTTATAAAGAAATCATGTGCAGACAATTTCTTCCCATTTCAGTTCTATACTTATTTGTTGTGACCAAATGCATTGAATAGATTGTGAAGCTTGGAAGACCCTATTCTCTTTTACATTTTGTAATGTTGTAATGGAGAGAAAACATGGCAATTGGTAAGCATTGTGTAAAAGTCAAAATCATCGGCAATATCTCTTGTACATATGCAATCTGGTGGCATGTTGTCAATATGATTTTGTCATGCACTAAAATGTCAGGAAAGAGTGCAGACATTCCGTATTATATGTGTGTGCTAATGCAATTCCCAATGCCATGTACTTGGAGATGATTTCCCATATATTGCCTGCCATTACCTGTGTACTACTGGTACCTTTTTCTCCTGTGATGAATTGCCACCACGTCTTGTGCAAGGCAATTAGCCTCAAACCCTGCCTTCCCAGGGATTAACCCTCTTGAACTACAATTGCTCACCTATTACAACCAATATTTGGAGCATTCTAAAGCTGAAGAAGGCCGGAGTTCAGGCTACGAGAAGACGTATTGTTCCATATTGTGGTGTGCCCATGATGTTTGTTATAGTGATAACCAGAGACTCCTGCAATTTGTCCATTTTTCAACAGATCAGACAGTGTATATGTACGTTCTTTTGTTTGAGATACACAGTATAATGACAATGTGTGAATAAGTCCTAGTTACAGACCTTTGTGTAAGAACCAGTGAAAAGTCTGCTGCAGTGTACAAGGCAATCATGTAGACAAACGAAATATACTAAGTGTGTGTGTAACATTAAAGATTTTTATGTTGCAGTGCAACACCCTGAGTTTGGTCGTATGTTCTTGTTTCCTCTTCCTTATACTACTATTTTGGTGGTACGTATGTCTACTAATGGCATTAAACATTATGGACTCAGTTGAGAATGATCTTGAAGTTTTTGAAGCCTTCGTT